CTATAAAAAGAATTGACTAGTGCTTCTAATAGGACTATTAAGAAGACAATCATATTGAGTACTTGTAGATTGTGGCTCTATAGAAAATTGCATCTTAATTGAAATTGCTGACTAACTTAGAATTAAAACTAAGAAAATCAAAGGAAGAAATATATACCTTGTAGATAATCGAGAGAATGTATGAAAGAAACCTTGAGATTGATAAACATCTATGTTTTAAGAGAGAGATTCAAGGTAACAAAGCTAAGATATGATGTTATCCTTGGTATGCCATTGATGGAGATGAAAAATAAGTAAGTTGATTACATAGTAAGGACAATTTCTTTAAAAGATAGAAGACGCAAGATGACTCTTTGCACCTTCACATCAAGTAAAGAGGAAAAACAATCTATAATCAAAGACTTACTTGTAGGGACGACCTTTATGAAGAAGCAACTACAACATGAACAACCAACATATATGGTGGTTCCATATCTTGTGTCAGTGGTGGAAAAGACAGCCAAAGAGATAGAATAGGCAAAACAATTCATACGAAAATATTTGGATGTCTTTCCAACCAACCTACTTAGTGGTCTACCTCTTGATTGAGGTGCTCCCTTTTAAATAGAACTATTGTTTGGAGCCAAATCAATAAATCAATCAATTTATTGTCCAACGCCAAAAGAACTTGAAGAGCTACGAAAGACATTAGACAAACTTTTGGAAAGAGGCCTCATTTGAAAAAGCACATCATTGTATACTCTTTACATCTAGAAAAGATGGTGGACTTTACTTTTGTATTGACTATTAAGGTCTCAATAAGCAGATTGTTAAAAATGCATATCGACTTTTACACGTGGATGATCTTCATGACCAACTTCGAAGTGCAATCATCTTTAGTAAATTGAATCTTTGGAGCGACTATTGGCAAGCATCTATTACAAGAGAGGATGTAGAAAAGTCGGTATTTTGTATGTACTATAGACATTTTGAATGGCTAGTTTTATCCTTTGGCCTCACCAATGCTCCAACTTCTTTTATGGGTCTCATAAACATATTATTTCAAGACCTTATGGACAAGTATGTAGTTATCTTCATTGATGATATCCTCGTATATAATAAAATCCCTAAAGAGTATGAGCAACATCTATGAGAAGTGATGTACCAATTACAAGTTAGTTACTTTTATTGCAAGCAATCAAAATGTAAACTTTCGAAGTTGGAAATTATCTTTTTGGAATATGTGGTGTCTTTCATAGGTGTACATATGGAGCAAGATAAGATAAAAGCAGTGGAGGATTGGCCAACCTCTAAGAATGTATTTGAAGTTTGCTCGTTTTAAGCCTTGCTAGATACTATCACCATTTTATTTGGCAATTTGCTCACATTACTGCCTCATTAACAAACCTATTAGAGAAGGATCTTCCATTTGAATGAAAATTGGGGCAGTAAATGCCTTTAATAAGTTGAAGGAGGCAGTCATTACTCCTCCAATATTGCAACCATATGATCTTAATCTCCATTGTACATTTGACATTCATGCTTTCGAATCTGCTATTGGAGCGGTCCTTGAATAAGACTTTGATAGGGACCTTCAACTTGTGGCATATGATTCACGCAAACTTAGAAAAGCAAAGCACAATTACTTTCCACATAATTGGAAGCAATTAGCGATTGTACATGTCGCAAAAGTGTGGCAATACTATCTATTAGAAAAGCCACTGGTTGTTTGGATTGACCATCAATCCTTGCTGCATGATTTGCATCTAAAAAATATGAAATCGCGGCATCATTGTTGAGAAGAATAATTGCAGCTTTTTGATATTGAGCTTGAGTACAAACAAGGGCTACAACATACTATGCCAAATAGTTTATTACGCAAACCAAATTTGAAGGAAAAATTAAAAAACAAGGCAGGAGTCGCTACTATTAGTAGTATTATTTTAGATCTAATCAAAGAGGTAGAATGGAAGGAAGCTATGCAATGGGATGTTTATTTCAAGATGATTAGCAATTGATTGAAGGTGGACAATATACAATATTAAGATTACATGCTTAGTGAAGGCTTGCTCTATTTCAAAAAGTAAATTTATATACCTGATAATACTAAACTTTGGACGTGCATACTTCAAGAGAGACATGACATCCCAATATCTGGACATCTAGGATGAGAGGAGATCTTAGAATGAATTTCAAGGACATGATTTTAGACAAGTTTGGATCGTAATGTTTAAGCCTTTGTATGCTTTTGCAAATCATGTCAATGTAATAAAGCATGCAATACAACATTTCTTGAACTATTCTAGCCAATTCCACTATCCTCGGCACATTGAGAGCAAGTGACTATGGATTTCATTACATGTTTACTGCAAATGCTTCATAATCATACTACGGTTGTCATCTTTGTAGATTGACTCTCAAAGCAGCTTTACTTGGCTGCAGTACACTCAAATATTGATGCCCCAATGCTTGCTCGAGTCTTCTTTGATATCGTCTTTTATCACCATGGATTATCTCTTATCATCATTTCAAATCGGGATCCATGCTTCATAAGAAGTTTTTGGCAAACCTTGTTCAAACTACTAGGGACATGACTTGCCATGTCTACATTCTTCTATCCTCAAACAAATGAGCAAACACAACATATAAATTAGCCCTTGGACGATATGCTACGAGCATTTGTGGCAGTTCATCATAATAATTGGGATGAATACTTGACACTCTTGAAATTTGCTTATAATGATAGTATTTAAGCAAGTATTGATCATTCACCATTTTTTTTTAATACTAGTCAATATCTGATTATGCCAGCAATTGTCCATCGTCCCATTGATACCAAAAATCTAATAATGGAGGAATTTATATAATGGCTTATAACAACCTTATAAGAAGTACAGCACTGCTTTTTTATTATACAAAATCAACAAAAGCAGTATGCGATAATCATTGGCAACACAAGCCCTTTTGAGAGGGTGATCAAGTATTACTCTCCAATGCTAATTTGCCACTTGTTACATCAATCCAAATTCGTAAAATAGTACCTTGGTGGCTTAGACCTTTTCACACTTTTGTAGTGATATCTAATGTCGTATATTGCCTTGAACTTTTATCACATATTCAAGTCCATTTAGTCTTCCATATTTCATAATTGAAAGAATTTCATACTGAGCCAAAGCACTTTCTGGATTGATACCAACCACCACCACCACCACCAGTTGTATTTAATGACCAACAAGAATTTGAAGTGGACAGCATTTTGGAATATCACTATCTTCGTCATGGTAGTCGACGTCTACAACTTCAATACTAAGTTCTTTGAAAAGATTATCTCATTCACGATTCAATGTAGAAACGTGCACAAAACCTCATCCATTGCCAAGAGACAATTTGGAGATATTGTCCGGAGCAAAATGAAGAAGTTCCGCATTAATGGAGGGAGATTAACTATAACAGGATATAGATAAGATAATTATATAGATAATTAGAACCATGGAAGTTTCTAGAATTGAGGTTAGGTTAGTGGAACAAGTAGGACCTATTGTAGAACATTCTAGAAGAAAGCTTAGGATGGTTATCTAGGTGGAGCCTACTATATAACCTTCTAAAAAAAGAATTTAAGGTGATTATCTAGATAGAACCTACTATATAACCTTCTAAAAAAAGAATTTAAGGTGATTATCTAGATAGAGCCTACTACCTAGGAACATCCTAGAAAGTCTAGGGTGGTAAGATAAGATATAAATAAGATTGGCCAGGGTCTTTTGGGGCATCTAATCAAGATGCTAAGAAACAGAATCTAAATCCATAAAAGATCATTTCTATTCAAATTTGTTCTATTCCATTTCTGTTTGCTCAATTTTGTCTTTCATGTCCTATTTTGTTTAATTTCGTTTAGTTTTGTTCTGATTTGTTTTGTCCTATTTTGTGAGGAGATCTTATGTTGTTGTAGATTGGAAGGAACTTGGATTTTTGAGATAATCAAGTCTTCTTTCAGTGAGGCCTTCTTTACTCTTATCAATTTCTTTCTTGCTTTTAGTTTAATCTCAAGAGTCTCTAGTTTTTATTATCTTTTGCAATAGCCATTATAGTTCCTTCTTGAATACACATACTTTCTTACTTCTATTTTGTTATCTTTCTTTGATACTCATTTCACTTATTTATATATTTCTTTTTTATTCTTGTCCTTATCAAATTGATGAGATTATACTTATAATATCAAAGCTTTGAATTTTCTTGATTAATACTATATTATCTCTTTCTTTTAATAAGACATAAGTATATTAGAAGTTGTAGAATACCCACTTTTAAATTGATATTGTTCTTAGAATTTTCTTGGTTCTTAAGTCCGTTCTTCTATTTGTCTTAGGTGATATTAATCATCTTCTTGCTATGTAATATTCTTATGCAATCTTAATTTAAGATAAGTTCTACTTAATCCCTTTTTTATATTTTTTCTTTTCTTCTTACTACCCACTTTGTTTGCCTAGCTAACTAAGTGGGTTCTAACAAAGGTACTACTTTGCTTGAGCTTTTAATGGTGAATTCTTCAAATTACAACAATACCTTGCAATGAAATTGTTAAAGTTAGGATTTTTTAAAAATATGATTAATATTTTAAAAAATTAAATAAAATACTAGTAATTTATTTTATGATAACTTTTGAAATAATTCAAAATGTTAAAAAAATTATTTAAATTAGATATATTAACACTTTAAAATTTTGAAAAAATATGTACGAATATCTTGAGGGAAAAAAAGTTCTTTTTGGTTCAAAATATTATTCGTAATATAATTTCTAAGAGAATTCTTTGAACTTAATAAATTAAAGTTCATTTTCACATGAATTGGAAGAGAAATTCCTTGTCTAACAAAATGAATGTACGTAGAACCTGTCGGATGAACCATGAGCAGGGGAATAGGCCCCGATACTCCGAACTGGGGTGCCGAAGCCGTGGCTGTTGCTTCCCGGGAAGTGTGACGTGTCAGCCACAAAGTGATAAACGTGGCTGAATGTAGGAATCAAACCTCGCTCGCCGCAGTGACGATGCGGATGTGCCTCGCAGCGAGAGCCTCGGTGCAGTCGAGACAATTAACTTGGTGCACTACATTCGACGGAACCCAAGTCGCAATCGATAGCTTAGGCGATCACTATCATAATGAACCCTTAGAATCCAGAAATTGGTATATTGTATTTTGTGGGTTGAAGGGTTGTGCGTCCGGGAGGTTGGTTGGTATATCTCTGGTTTTTGAGTAATTTTTTTTAGTGTTGGAGGCATCGAATTTCATTGAAGGGTTGGGAGATTGTGGTGTCTTAGAAGCGATCGACAACGGGTGCCAAGATGCGAGCTGTTCAGATTACCCGGTTGCTGCAAAACCTAGCCTCGCAGGGCGCTGCTGCGGCTTCATACTCATCCTTACGGCGCCTCGCACCTTTGGCGAGCCAGCAATCCAGTTTGTGTCGCCTATACGCCCGAGATTCTTCCACGGAATCTTTTGCATGGAGCGTTGGGTCAGAGCCTGGTGCTTCCACGGGAGCTCCGGCGAGTGATGGAGCGCAGGAAAATGGGGCAACCTCAGGTGGGGCATCCAGCTAGGTTTATAGCTCTCCGTGTTTTGAAAAGTTTACGAGGAACGTTTGTTGCTGCAGAACATCGGCAGGTCTTGTTCTTGAACTGAAGTATGAATGAGCCGAATGATTGCCGACCACAGTAGCTTTGGTAACGCATTGCTTCTACCTGCGATTTGCGCAATTCTCGTCATGTATACACTACAACACTTCGGTTTTAGAATGCGTCTTCTTAAGGCTGTTAAACATACATTGGGTCTGCTACTTGGTTGAAAAATAATCGTGCCTTGCAATTGTGAAATTTCGGTAATGTGACTAGAACCCTTTCACGACATGCTTGTAATCACCTCAGTGACCTACTTTGCGAATTAATCCTAATGAAGATCACTTTTCACAGATAGATTGTTTACGGTAACAGTTGCTCCTGTTCTTATCTAAAAACTTAATGGTTCACGTGTGCAGGACTTGGAGCAAGTTTTAAAAACACAAGTGACAAAGACTCGGCAAGCGATGAAGAGGCTGTGGACGAGAAGTCCCAGGTTCTCCGTGCGGCCATGTCTCACGTGGTATGTGCATAGATCTTACTCTACTGCAAAAGCATCCATAGTCCTGTCCCTCACCAATTGCAATTGACCAGATTCGTCTCTGATCTGTGTTTGGAAAGTTTTACTGCAGTCAAGGCTAGGGTGGACAGAATCTGCTCTTGTGCAAGGTGCGAAGGACGCCGGGTTGTCGCCTGCCATCGTGGGCTCTTTCCCACGCAAAGACGCCGCTCTTGTCGAGGTAGGAAAGACCAAACTACATTCTAAGCTCCTTTCTGTACCACCTCATAGCCTGGAATTCAAGAGTGGTGCATTCATTCAATTGGTGGTCCGCAGGGGAATGTAGTAAGTTTTGACGTGCAGTAAGGGTTGATTGATTCTGTTCACGTACATGGTCGATCATATGCAGTTCTTCATGGATGAGTGCAACCGTCATCTGGAAGACGAAGTTGAAGCCCGTGAGAAAGAGTTGTCCTCCATGCTTCTTGCGGAGCGCATAGCACAGCTTGTACGTCTACGTTTACAAATGCAGATCCCCTTCCTTTCGAAGTGGCCTCAAGCTCTTAGTATACAGGTACTGATATTTTACCATGTATGTTGTCTTCAGTGGTATCCATTTCGTGCGAAGTTGAATTTCAATTTTAGTCTTTATCTGCATTCATTTTGTTATGCCTTGTGTTTTAAGCCATCATTTTTCGTGACACTTCTACATTTTAATCTCCTTCGTTCTTCTGCTTGCAGGCGCATCCCATGAATGCTGCAACGGCGTTGAAGCAAAGGGCGGTGCTTATGGATGACATTTGGCACGCAGTTGGCGATCGGTCTACAGACATGGATTGGTACACTAAACGCGCGTTGTTGGGTGGCGTTTATGCAGCCACTGAACTGTACATGCTTACCGACTACTCTCCAGGTGCAGCTAACATTCTGGAGATGGATATTTAATTACGTAATGAATACGTAATTCTTAATAATTGCTATCTTATTACATTGAAATTGGTTTAGTTTGATTGTTAGCACGTGAATAGGAATCTCTGTTACTAAAGCTACCGCAGAGGTTCTGCAATGAGTTGAATGGATTGGGGCTATAGTCGACCCAGCTATCCAAAGGAGTATGATCATCATATATTGCTCTTACGAATTTTTGTAGATTAGTGAGAGTATCAACCAGCAGGGAAAAAAGAATCTGAAGTGCACTATCACACCCTGATTTACTTTGGTTACGAAAAAATTTAGCTTATCATTCTCTTCGTGAGTTGCAGGTCATCGTGACTCTTGGGCCTTTTTGGAGCGCAGGATAAAGGATGCTATTGATTGCAGAAAGACTGCACAAGAGGTCATTACAATTCATATCTGCATCTGAATGATATTATTTCTTGCTGGAAATTTGTGCAGAAACTCTGTCGTTAATGCATCGAATTGTAGTGGCTAGTGTAAAATACAAACTCAAGTCCTGCTCTTCTTCGAGATTTATGTTCTATGAAAATAATTAATGACAGCTGAATCGATTGCAGATTAGGAATCGGCTTTTGATATGCAAGGCAAAAGCCAACGTGTGCAGAATTTTCCAGTTACGTTGTTACTGCTCATTCTGACGGTTGTGGTTCAATTGCAATGCAGGCTTCGCAATTGGCGCAGGCTGTCGGCATGGGTTTGAGCAATTCACTCTCTTCTCTCTTTAGCAGGGGTTCTCAGATGTAGTGCGTGTCTAGTGTCGAAATGGTAGAATGTACATGACGATGCAATGGCATGCATACAATGACTTTCAGTCGGCACTTTTTCCTAATAAGTGTTTTATAAAGTTTCTCTTTTCCAAACTAAGGTATAGTATCGACATTTTTCTATGGAAGAAGTCCCATGCTCGCGTTCCCTACGCAGCATCCTGGTATAGTCATCTGTGGTTGAATAGAGTTTCTCCACTTAGGGAAGTTGGGGATTTTGGATATTGTAATGTCAATTTGAACGCATAGATCTGCCACCGGAAATGTGTCGCTGGATTGAGAAAGTGGATAAGAAATTGCATGTCAGTATCTGATACTTTCATACAACAATCGTCTCATGTGGTTACATAAATAGCAATAAGACATGGCAAGAGAATACTCGACCACACGAGCATTCAATGGCAACGTCATTGCTGATAATTGAAGGTAATTAAGACTACTATCCAATTTGAACTGTGCATTCTACCAATGGTGTAGCGGATACCAAGAGAGACAACTTCTCAGTAGTCTAATTAGGATGTAGATCCAAAATGTGTCCGTTGCTATGCAGGACCACCTAGATAATAATTGATTTTCTGACCTATTCCAAAACCTACTACTCTGAAATCATTGCAAAAGCAACGAAGTGAAAGCTAATCTGACACAGCCGATCGCTACGAGTAAGAAATCATGAAAGCACTTGAAGAGCTACAAAGGGAGCTCATAGAATGACCTTAGCTTCACTTGAAAGCTGTCTCAACAATGCTCTGAAACTGCTGCCGCAAACTTGAATGATTTCTCTACATTGCACATGGAGGTGGGGAACAAAAATAGCAGAAAAGTAGCTAATCAATCTTCACAGAAGAGAAGAGATAGTGAACAAAGTAAAAGGAAGTGAGGAACCCTACGGTGCCGGTGGCAAACATGATGGCAGTCACCATGAGTAGAGAGTATCCCAAGTAGAGGACTGCCGATACTGGCCCACTCAAGCTGTGCAGATCGAAGACGAGGTAATTAATGGAGTACAGGAAGACGTAGAACGCCACAGAACCAGAGGCGAAGAACGATTTCCACCACCAGCGGTGATCCTCCACGCAGAGGTGCATGTACGTAAGTACGACAGAAACCTCGGCGCAGACAATGACGAGAAGCACCAGCACAATAAATAAGAAGCCGAAAACGTAGTAGACGCGGCCCATCCAGATGCTGGACATAATAAAGAAAAGCTCGATAAAGAGAGTGCCAAATGGGAGGGTGCCAGCTCCGAGGACCAACAACCAGGACGGGTAGCGCTGGGGAGGAATTTCGCGGGGAATCTGGTTGGTGCGAACGGGGTATGTGATGGGCTCGGAGCGAGCAGCGAAGTAACCTCCCAAGAGAGTCAAAGGTACTGAGATGGTGAACCAGAGAAGGAAGAGGACGAGGAAGAGGGAGATCGGGATGGCGCCGGTGCTGCCATTGGCCCACAGAATACTGTTTAGAATGATGAGGATAATGAAGGAGATCCCAGGGAAAAAACAGGCGGTCTTCAGAGCGATGGCTTTCCATCCAGCCGGACTTCCCTGGATGGTGCACCACAGCCGCGAGGCGACATAGCCGGCCACACTACCGAGGAATAGATACAGCAAAACCATGCCGGTGAGCAGCATTCCTCGTGATGCAGGTGACATGAAACCAAGGGCAGCACAGAAGATTGTCACAACGCCCATAGCTAAGATTTGGACACCATCGCCAATTGTGATGCATAGGATTTGAGGAGACCCCGGCGCGCGGAACACGTCACCCACGACCAACTTCCAACCTGATAGCTCCTCTGTCATCTGCGACTGAGATTCCTTGTCGAGCTCCTCGTACTTAGTCAAGTCACGCCGCACCGTTCTCAGGAAAATCACGAACACAATGCCGGCAAGGAATGTGATAACCATGAGAGAGTTCAGAATAGAGAACCAGTGGACGCGAGTTCCCTCCATCTTGAGGTATGAGTCCCATCGGCTAGGCCAGCGGATTTCGCTCGGCTCAAAAACGACGTCATACGAAAAAACTAATGGTTCGTTCACTTTGATTTCCTGATGAGGTCCATTAAGACTACAGGAGACACCAGGAAGCGTCCCGTAGTCCTCAACGTCCTTGAGGGCCTTAGCATCGCGTTCAACGCTGCAAGGTACGACCTCGAATCCCACCACCATATGCGTTCCGGTTAAGTTGCGCTCACTCTCCGTCTGTACAACATCTAGGCCGTCCCCATTCCCCAACATGGCCACCATCGAGGTTTCACCCTCATATTCATGGATGAGCACCTTGAAAATCAAATGGTTAAAAATATAATGCTTAGTGTCCTTCTCGTGCCCAATGGGCAACCCCGTCCACCGCATCGGCTTGTTCGAGTCCGGCTGCTTCGTGTACCGTGTCACTGGGAGGTTGTCCAACATCAGATTCACCTGGTACAGATCGTCGATCCTCTGGTGGAAATGCTTCACGTCCTTCTCTGTCAAGGGACTTGTCTCGCACACCTTCACATTCTGCTGGTTGGTCCGCATCTTGAACTTGTAGGGCGAATTCTCTATCTCATCGCCCATAAGAAGCTCTCCAATATTTTCTGCCACCTTTTTGATGCCCTCCTTGGGCCTACAGAAGGGCAGGCTGTAGTACGAATACGGGAGCTCCGTCTCAACTGACGTAATGGAGTTTACCTTCACCCCAAGCTCATCTCCATCTTTATACGGATGCAGGTAACTGCCTGGCAGGTAAAATCCCTCTACGAAACCCCCAGACAATGCTTGCAATACCAAAAATCCCAGCAGTACCAACATTCTCCCAGACTTCAAACTACACCCCATGGTGACGAATGTCCCCTTCTCTCTCACACGCACAAAATCCGAAAAAAAGAAAGAAAACCCTTTCCTCCAGGCCTTCCGCTTATCACCCAAATTAACTTCAGAGCAAGAGCATCCTTCTCAAGCGATTACGCTCACACACCACAATTCCAACCTGCACATTGCAGCTTCTTCTGATCCCAATCTCCTCCACGAGACAACATCCATAAATGAATCCTCGTCAAATCTGGCGCCTCAACCCAACCCCTTCACTTATAAATTGGCCGACCGAAGCAGCGGAAACCTTCACCAAAACAAGTGCCGAAACTCAGCGCGAGCTCCCACTCCCTCCAGATCCAAAGACACAGTACTCAGCAACAAAAAAAGCATAAAATAGTCACCGCATTGTAGCTGCGAGCACACACACACACACACACCTCGCGCGGCGCAATAATCAGGTCCTCAGATCTGGCACCTTACGCAGAGTACTCCCGCTGATGAAGGGGCAGCACACCGAACGGCGGTGTTGGGAGCTCACCAATGATGGAGGGGCACGGTCATAGACTCGAGCGGGCTTCGACCCCCAGTTTCAATCTCCCCTTAATCAAATAATTTTGCGATGGTGCGCCACCTGAATCCTAGGAACTTCTCTTACGTGGCGTTAGGTGAGTGGCTGATAAAAGTTTTAGAAACCTGGGCAATCATGCAACGGCGACGCTGAGGTGGGTATGGGGGGTCGTAGTGCTGCTGGGGCAACGGAAAGCTTCTATGGTTACAGCTCTGCCTTTCTAAATAGCTCCTCTTGTCCTTGGACCAGTCCAATCTTATGCAGCTAGCTTAATAAGTGACTCCTTTTATTATTTTAATGCAAAATGAACCCACTCAACAAACCCCACGAAATATAACATGGGTAGACGCCCATCTTGAGCACGTTTTGTTCCACGAATTTCAAATCATGTTTTTTCGGTTGTGTGTGAATAGTAGGGATGGTAGGGGGTCAAAGTTCTAATTTGCTTCGTGACTTGCACGGAGCAGAACCACCTGGGTGTCAGACTTGTGAGCTGGTCAGGATGATTTTCAGATGATTGTATGACCTACTGAGAAGCTTGAGTGTTGCAATTGTGAGTTAAATTAAAACATGAAGGAGTTGGATCCTTAGTCTTAGGAGGACTAGGTTAATGAATGTCATAGGCATGGAAGTAGATATGTCTATGATTAGAATCTAAAAAAGGAGAAAATGAACTGAAATTAGCCTTTCTTAAAGAAATAAGTGAGTTATTGATTGGGTGATATCTGGACTTCGGCGAAGGTTTCATTGAGTGCGTTCTGCCAGTCTGGCCCATAGTGTTGAATGGTGAAAATCTACGATATAAGATAAATTCAACAGAGGTACATTATTAGTTACAATGATCTGAGAGTATTAGCAAGAAGTGTTCCAGAAAGTTGTTGCGTTTGACACTTCGGCGTTTCATTAGGAAGAAACAAATAAACAAATACATTCCTGGAAGAATTAGTGATATGTTCCAACGACGTTTTCAATCTTGATTTTGTAACCAGCACGATAGATGCAAGAACCAATTTTGGGAGATGCTTGATGGTGCCTATCATACAATTAGATAAATGTGTTGCAATTTTTCACATTCTCGTATGGTAGGGGGCACAAAAAAGAAAAAGTATATATAAATTTGTATACTGTTGAACGTGAGTGCGCTTTTCTAATGTGAGGTAGTGACATACTACATGCGGTCTCGATGTGATTCGTGCCAATTATTTTACTACGATTTGTTAGTGTTTCACGACTTTCTACCAACAACACGGCGTTGCAAGACGTGTGCGTGTTTTTGGCCGGTATGTTACGGACTGGTATAAACATGTGCTGAATGTGGCTGTAGCGCACAACTGAAACAGGTGGGAAACGGTTGACAACAGTTATCGTAGAACGAGCTTGATTACATGTTAAAATTGAGAATCCACCATTATGAAACTCGAATGTTTCTGGTCTTTCACTATGTTACATCGGCCTCTAGCTACCATGTGCACAAGATTTTTCTGCTCGTGCAAAAGACTAACCTACGTAAAAACAATAATGATTTAAAATACACTGATCTCTCGAAGAATGAAATCAGTTCATCGAGTGACACATGGACTCATTGACCGCCAATGGCATCCTCTCATCTTAAACCTAGCAAAACATCCGAAAGGGAAGAATATCGGTCGAAGGGGAACGTGGTTCATCTACAAAAACCTACCAGAACTCATCTACTTACTGTCTGTGAAGTCCGCATCAATCACGTCATCTCCTCCTGCAGCAGGGCCAGTGCTGCTTCCCTGGGCGCCTGGGGCGCTTCCCTCGGGGGCACCTCCGGGCTGGTTGTACAGAGATTGGCCAAACTGCATCACCTCCTGGTTCAAGGCTGCGATTGCGTCCTTCATACTTTGCGTATTGTCGCTAGCAATGGCATCCTTCAAGTCCTTCAGCTTCGCTTCCACCTTGTCCTTCACCTCAGCTGGGACCTTGTCCGCGAGCTCTTTGAGCTGCTTCTCAGTTTGGTATACCACGGAGTCGGCTTGGTTCTTCGTGTCAACAGCTTCTCTCTTCTCCTTATCAGCCTGGCCGAATCTCTCGGCCTCTTCTACCATTCGCTCGACCTCATCCTTGGGCAGTGTGCTAGCTCCCGTAATAGTAATGTCTTGCTTCTTCCCTGTTCCCTTCTCCGTGGCACTCACGGACAAAATACCATTGGCATCAATATCGAACCGAACTTCCACTTGAGGTACACCCCGGGGAGCTGGTGGAATGCCATCCAACCTGAAGCTTCCAAGAGACTTATTGTCTCTCACAAATTCACGCTCTCCTTGCAGAACATTAATGTCCACGCTCGTCTGATTATCGGCAGCTGTTGAGAACACCTCCGACTTGGAGGTTGGTAAAGTTGTATTCCTAGGGATAATCTTCGTCATCACACCACCCAACGTCTCCAAACCCAAAGACAGAGGCGTCACATCCAGAAGAACAATGTCGCTGACTTCACCAGCCAAAACACCAGCCTGTAGTAATTTCCCACAATTGTTAATACAGAAAATGTCGATGATAAGCCATTCATCAGACTACTAAAACAACCTCAGGATACCCCCCATTAGGAATAACAAACTAAACCCCTTAGCCATCCATACTCGTGACAGAGATGAGTAGGTATCGAGGTAAAATTTCAAACCTGTACTGCGGCTCCAAGAGCGACAACCTCATCAGGGTTCACAGACACGTTGGGGTCTTTTCCCGTGATTCTCTTGACCAACTCCTGCACTGCTGGTATTCTTGTCGAACCTCCAACAAGAATAACCTCGTCCAGATCTCTGTAGCTCAACTTAGCATCTCTCAAGGCGTTCTCTACTGGAGTCTTACACCTGTGATATCAACTTTGAAAATGAGACACCGTCCATGACGTAGACAAGCAGAGCTGCACCATTACACGTTGCTAAAAGATATCTAAAACACATAAAACCGACTAACTCGCACACAGAAAAGAAGTATTTTTCACTCTAGTATTTTGTAACATACCTGTCAAGTAGGTCAGAGCACAGCTCCTCGAATTTGGCTCTGGTCAACGTGGTATCGATGTGCTTCGGTCCATCCGCCGTGGCGGTTATGAAAGGCAGGCTGCAACACAAGAGATCGATGAAATGAAACCAAAGATTACTCAAGGGAAGAGTCTAGGAACTTCGCGTGTGATGAAGTTTTTATTTTTAAAAAAACTTGAACTCTGAGAAATTATCATATTGAGCTTAAAATTCAGGCATCCACACTATTCAAGCAACCAATTACACGAACCAACCCGAACTCTTACTCGTAATAACATTTCCATCAACTACCTGTTCTGTAGAGGCCATGAACTTCGTACCTAATACTAGCTTGAGAAAGAGAGGACAACTCCATCTTCGCCTTCTCTGCAGTCTCAGTCAACCTTTGCAAGGCTTGTTTGTCTTTCAAAAGGTCCACTCCCTCTGTCTTCTTGAATTCATCAGCTAGCCAGTCGACAATTCTCTGCATACAACCAAGAAATATTAGATAATCAGAACAGTAACGAAAGACTAAAAAGTGCACTAATAGCTAGTAGATTGAAATTCGTTGCCAGCGAACACGCATGTCATGTCATGCAAGAGGGTAAGCTCCCAAGACCATGCGACTTTACCTTGTCAAAATCATCGCCTCCGAGATGTGTATCCCCAGAAGTTGATAGAACTTCGAACACTCCATCACCGACTTCCAAAACTGAGACGTCAAATGTTCCACCTCCCAAATCAAATACTAAGATGGTCTCGTTGGCTTTTCTATCGAAGCCGTAAGCTAAAGAAGCCGCGGTTGGCTCATTAATGATCCGCAACACATCTACTCCGGCAATTCGACCGGCGTCTTTTGTGGCAGTTCTTTGTGCATCATTGAAGTAGGCTGGGACCGTGACAACGGCTTTAGTGACCTTGTCGTTCAAAAATTTGGACGCATCATCCACTAATTTCCTCAGCACCTGAGCGGAGATCTCCTCCGCAGCGAACGACTTACCGATAGCCGGGCAGTCCAACTTCACATTGCCGTTTGAATCCCTAATAACTTGGTAAGACACCTGCTTCGCCTCGTCGTCGACCTCTGCCATCTTTCGGCCAATAAATCTCTTCACCGAGAAGAAAGTATTCGAAGGATTAACGACAGCCTGGCGCTTGGCTATCTGGCCCACGAGCCTATCACCATTCTTGCCGTATGCCACGACAGATGGGGTGGTGCGAGCGCCCTCGGCGTTGGTAACAATTGTAGGCTTACCTCCTTCCATCGCCGCTACAGCGGAATTGGTGGTACCTAAATCAATACCCACCACCTTCTCCGCCACGACTCTCAAAGGCGCTGCGGCTCTCCTACTCTGTCCCTGGGACCTGGCTCGCAATCTCGCCAAGCCCTCGCCAAATCCCGCCCTGCTCTTCACGTCTCCACCGAAGAACGCATTCCTACGCATGCTATACTTTCCATTTCTCCGTGCGCACTTGGCATCTGCAGTAGCTCCGACGGCGCCCACAGCAGCGGACACAGCATGTGCGTTCATAACGGTCGCCATGTCTAAACCCCTTTCAGAAAATGATGCTTAAACCTCACACACAATCACGTAATTCAGGAGCAAAACCCTCGCCGGAGGTTATCAATCCCCGGAAGTACAAACAAAATTTCAAAACGTCTAGCCAACTCACGCCAAGGAAGACTAACTGCGAGGCTCTCGCTACGACCACTACGGAGTCTGACACCAAGGAAATTTCGCCGAGCAAGTCTACAGCGAGAACGAGTAGCGCCACCTATACTTGAAGGCCAACAACCCTATCCTCTAGACGCTTCGACAGCAACTCTCTGCCCCAAAGGCTCTCGCGACCCTATCCTCTAGAGAGTTCTGCGAGAAACCAGAATTCGAGACTGAGAGTCGGAGAAGAGGGATTGTGCTTCGTAGGGAGACGTCGATGCCACCAAATCCACTGAAACCCCGTCCTCGGAGTTGCAGGGCCCTCCGCCGGAAACGTCGACTCATTTCTAGAAGACCAAGACGAAGCGGAAAAAAAAACATTTAAAAACAAAATAAGATTCAAATTAAAAGCGGCACCAGAGCTGCCCACGTAGCATTCCCTATAGCGTCGAGTGTTGCAACTCATTCAAGGTAATAATAAATATTTATTCTGGTGGATGAAGTGCCAAAAACTTGTGAACGCAAGGAAGGTGAGTTATTTGCATATTTATGAGAATATTATAAGTTATGGGAAGTGGAGAAGGTACATCAAAGTATACATTATTGGATCTCAGAATTTAACTTGGTCAATGCTCAAACCTTGTAATGAAGTAAAAATTGTCGTACCTACTACATCTATTGAAATACCCTTTTATTTATCTTTCGTTTGTTTGTATTTTCTTTTCTTTTCACTTTCAGTGTTTGGGAATTTGTGAAATTAGGTTGATACTGGTGGAAGGACAATTACTGTTACATGCAACCACATAGAATTGATATAATTGATTCATTGGGTTCAATCTCTCTTTTTGACACATGTGGTAACACAAAGTAAGTTCTATAATTCTTTTTTTATATATCAACACATTATATATATGAAAATATCTATTATATGTTCTATAAATATATACTCAAGTTTTTACAAAAATATTTTATTTTTAATTTAATATAACATAATCTAAATTATATTCAATTTTGATGTAAAAACATCAAAGTAAATATAACCAACACATTTACTACATTCTAACTCAAATAAGAATTACAAAAATAAAATAAAATAAAATAAATCAATAAGGATCACATTATAAATTAAAATAGCATAAATCTTAGTAAGATTTATAAATGTCCTTAGATAATGTATGTACAACATTGTGAGATTATAAATATTTTTATTTTAGAAAGCATCAAAGGAAAAGTGGTCTATTTTAGATTGTTAAATAGAGTTAATTTTGACAAAAAATTTACAAATAAAATTACACTATGTAATTTTTTTGGATAATAGAATTTGAATGTAGAATTGTTTTTGGTTGTTATGATGTTAATATGAAAAACATATTAAAAACAATTATATATATATATAGTACAAGATTTTTTTTACAAAAAAAACACTAGAATGTAAATAGAAAATTAGAAAAAGACATGATATTGAAAAAAATTAAACATCAAAAATAATGGTATTAGTTAATTTATTCTAATATATTAAAAATAGATATCAATTTATGGATTCCAATAGATCTATATTATATTTTAATCTCTATAAAATTAACTGCAAGAGGTTAATTAAAGATATATTAAAGAGGCATCAACTAAAACATGTACAGATTGAAATTATATTAATAAAACTAGCTAAGAAAGAAGAATATTTAGATTTTGATACAATGAATTGAAAGAATTCTAATTATTATATTATTATATATAATATAGAAACTTATTAAAGATAAAATTATGGGATGAGCTTTGCCACACAAATTGCATAGATAGAACAATGTAAAAAAGAAGTAAATGTACGGAATGAAGTAAATTGCATAAAAATAAACTTTCTTTTAAAACATATTGTAATAGCATACTTGATAGGAAAGATAGAGGAGAAGATTCAATTTCTTATAAAAAATTTCATTAAATTCTCATTAAAACTTAAAACCAGACTTTGTAGATCCATCAAGCACAAAATAATTATACATGAATATATTTTGTAGAAAAGAAAATTATATAAATTACACATAATTACACATAAATATTATACATTTTTCTTGTAATTTTCTATACTTTTTTTGAGGATTTTTTCTAAGTAAGCAATGACATGTACTCCTATCTGTATAAATTCATTTGGCAACTTTTTAAAAGCCCTTATGCTAATTAAGATTTTTTTAAAAAAAAATTAAGTTAAAATTAGGGCCTCAATCCTATAAAATACATAATTCAAATGAAATATAGTGTACAGATTGTATTACCATTTTTTATTATTTATTACAAATCTATATACTTATGTGTATATATGTAGATAAGAAAATTATATAATTTTTAAAATTATATTATCATTGTAGAAATAAAAAAATATCAAATATTATAATTATACTAAAAATAAGTTGCTATATTATTGATTTGAGTAAAGTAAAAATAGAATAATTTGAATTAGAAGAGATTAATGACTTGATCAATTACAAACCTATTATAAGTATTGTGATTACATTACAAATCTATGGCTACAACCAACATTTGGTACAAATGTACCAATACAAATTGTTTTGAATGCCTTAATTAATGTTGTGTTTGTAAGAAAGTCCAAAATCAGATGTAATAGATATAAATTATGCAGATTGCATTAAACACTTGATAAAAAAAACTCAGCTAACAAGAATATACCAAACCTACATATATAAGAAAAATTTATTGAAGGTTTAAAAAATCAAATAAAATAGATACCATAAAAAACAACTTTTTTTTTTTTTTTTTAAATCATCCTATAAGAGAGTAAATTGTAGCTCTATCAAAAAAGATATATGTAATAAAGAATAATACATACAATAAACTATAAGAAAAACTTGATCCAAATACATAGTAAACAATTGCAACCAAAGAAATTTAAAAAGTAAATAATCTAATAAATGAAGGTTTAGGAAGCATACAGATTTTATTACAAAAAAAAATAGAAAGATGATTACTTTATGAAAAGATTGTAATAGTGAAAAATCTACCTACAATTCTATCAAATTCTTGCTATCAACCTAAATATTGATCACAGCTAAACTTAATAATATAATTAGAAATAATGTTAAGTTTTTGGTCAAAATACATATTTTATATTAGAATAGGACATAATCATAAAAGTTCTAGTTTGTCCAAAACTGAAACTAAATTCATAGCTGTAGAGATTTTTATAACTTTAGATACAAATATATTTTTTTTTTTTTATTGCTGCTAAATTCTAATCTCACTTAAATCAATGAATTTGATCATATTCATAAATCTTATTAAACACTGAATTTTAAAACCTTATTAAATACTAAATCCAAAGAATTTATTTAGTCCTAAATATAAAATTTTATAAAATCCTATTAAATCATAGATTTTTAATTCTAAATCTTAAAACTTTATCAAATCTTCAGCACTTAATCATATCAAATTTTAAATCTTTTATTCTTTAAAATATTAAATTATAAAAATTCTAAAACAAATCCTAATAAATCTTAGTATATTATAAAATCTAATTTGTAAACTTCAATGGGAATCAACTTATAATTGGATGGTTAAATTATTTTTAATCTTTTTATAATTTTGATTCTATAAGCTATATATAAATAAAAAAATAATAATATAATTCAAACTTATAAATTAATAAATATTGCATTAAAATCACTTTAAATAAATCTTCACATCTAGTATTAATTTTACAAAGATATTTTTAGTAAGATTTTTTATTTCATTTTTTATTTTTTATTTTTATTTTTTAAAATCCTTTATTTTTTTGAAAATATGATTAATTTATTAAATCCTTTAATAAGACATTTGCAAATACAGCAAAAAAAGATTTATATTGATTTTGGAAAGACATCCAAATTTTTAATAAGAAGAAATGGTGTTGTAAGATTTGCAATTGTATATACGTTACATAAAGAGCTAATTTGTAACATATGCCAATAATATTTGAATTCAAACTAGGGCAATGATTAGTTATAATAGAGTGGGCATAGATTGATAATGATAGGCTACAAGTCTCTCTTAAGTTTTTTTGTTGAAGGTCTAGGTATAAAATTCAATCATTAAATTACAAAGACCAGTTAGATTGCATAGAATGCAAATGAGCACCAACAATGGAAATATACTTAAAGCTAATGCTTGTGATGTACTATTATATATAAAAATATTAAATATAAACGTATTGTAGTTAGAGCTTAGGGTGCTAGAGCTAAAAGATGTAATAATCAATGATTTGAGAGTGAACAACAAGAATAAGATAAAAATAAATAAATAAATAAATAATTTTTTTTTAAAAAATACTAATCTAATATAAATATTTTGGAAGTTGTTGCTCCAACTTCATACAATTGCAGCTACTTTTTGAACCTCTACTAAGCAATAAAAATCTTATATTAATATACATACTTGTAAGATGTTTGGCTAATGATACAGAGTAATTGTTAAACAAAGTTGATGCAAACTTAGGCATTATATAATTACAAAAAATATTGTTAAATATTACAAAGTCAATCAAGTATTTTGTGTTAGGATGGACTATAAATTTGAACTCATTGAAGTGCTATAGCTATAATACAATTGATCAACTCTATAATTTATATAAGTTTTTGTATGTTCCAATAAACCATTTATTATAGGCTAAAAAAGCAATAAACAAGAAGTTTTTTCATAACACATTTAATAAAGATATGATAGAAAGAAGAAAATATTTGAAAAGATTTGCTAAAAGGTGTTAAGATTTAGAGATGTTTTAGTCCATGATGGCAAAAAAATCAAGATAATAATACCACATATTTTTGCATCTTAAACAAAATAAGCATTCTCTCTTGAAAAGATTTTAATAAGATTCTTAATTATTTATTCTTATTTTATTTTATAAATAATTATAATATTTTATTTCTTTATTTTAGAAATTAGAAATTAGCCATCTTTTAATTAATAATTATAGTTTTTTAGATATTGATTATTTTTAAAAAAAAAGTAGATTAATTTTTATATAAATTTTTTTATTTGATATTAGAGGTTACAAATTACCATGTTCTTATTTGATTTTTAGATTTTTCAAAGTCTTCTACTATATTGGTTGAAGAAAAATAAATTATAAATGCTACACTTAATAAAACTAAGATTAAATTTGCTATTATTTTATTTCTTCATGACCTTGTGATCATTTTGAGGTTAATTTTTTTAATATTATTAATAACATTTATAAAAGTATTATTTCTACATCTACAAAA